AAGCACGGCTGGTGCCTTAGCTCTTCCCAAATCTGGCCTCTCAGGCTTCATTTTTCAAGCATTCTGGACAAAACCCGGTCCCAGTTTATTGCACCTTTGGAAATTATCTAGTCAACAGTTGTTTCAATAAGTATGCTCCAGAAAAATCAAAATGCCCTTTTAAATTTAATATAATCTCCAATTATCATATTACCTCAGGGAGGAAGGCATGGTGGTACTTAATAGAGCTCTTTGGGGCTGTTGTGCGTTTTAATTGAGTGAATAATTGTAAAACACTTCAGGGCCTTTTGGTAAAAGGCTCTGTATAAACATTGTCATAATGCTGAATAATCAGGCGGCAAGATGAACTGGAATAAATGAACCCTATAAATAGATATATAATTTATATATACGTATAATACGTGTGTGTATATACCAACATTTCGGAGAGAGCAAGGCAGTTATTTTATAAAAGTCCTACAGTTCTTGAATAAGGAAAAAAAAAAAACCCTGATATTGGATAGTGATAATGGTAATAATCAGAATGTTAGTTTTGAAGGTATTGTGAACCTGCAGTTTTTCCTCCTGTGCAGTGCAGAGAATTGCCAGGAGCGTTGGTGGTGTTACCGCTTCAGTGATGCTTCTCGAGAAACGGCACAATATGTCGTGTTTTATGATGGAGGAACATGGAGCAGGTTAGATCCAAGGTATTAAATATTTAAATGCCTGAAGACGTAGATAGACATGGTTTGTAGGAACCAAGGGAGCCTCATTCCAGACGGCTTTCCCAAGGTATTGCTGCAATGCAGTGGTAGGGTTTGGAGCGGAGCAGAGGCCTCCTGCAGCCCACGTCAGTGCCTCTCCAGGAATTTTCCTGGAGCGGTGGGAAGGACAGCAACGGCGAACATGGCACACCAGCCGCAGTGGTGGTATTGCTCCTAGGTCTGTATCTGATGTGCTGTATTACCCTGCACGAATCACTAGCCACTCAGTTTCTCCTAAATTCTTTGGCTGTCTGATCCCTGAAGACTATAATTTTCTGGGACAGTGACTTTTCTGTTTCTGTGCTTGTACTCGCTTGTTATTCAACCCGTTAGGAGGGGGAATGCCTCTGAAATGGAGGTGATGGAGATGAACTTTTATAGTTCATGCAAAAAAAGCCTATGCTGGGCAACGCAGTGCTAGTACAAAGAACCCTCTACTCTTGAAAGGAACTTGACACAGTGATGATGCCACTTCACTTAGTTAATGACAGGAGCCATCTAATACAGGCTAAATGCAAAACTACATAAAGGAAACGGGCATCTGAATGGCCTGAGTGCTTGAAATATAAATGAATGGGACACGACCAGACTCTGTTTCTAAAGACATCAGTTACCAGGCATCCTCTTACTATTGTGAAGCTCTCATTTGCAGGAGCAGTCAAAGCTATTTTTGCTGGGAACTAGGATATTCGTGGCTCGAGATTAAGTACATCTTTTAAGCACCAAGAAGACACTGAGGGATGCTGTGGATTCAGGAGGGGTAGAAAGGCTCTGAAATTATTTTCCTTGCTGTAAACTTACTGAACAGACTGATATAGTGCCGGGCACAATTTGAGTTCTGTAGACTTGTACTCGCAGCCGGAATGGTGTGACAGAATAGTCCATTGTGTATTAAATTTACAGATTCAGTGCAGAAAATGTGTGGGCTATTCAGCATCTTAGAATAGGAATTAGGTTGGACTGAAGTTTCCTTTCTCTTACCAACCGCAGAAGAATAAGCATCTGTTAAAAAAAAAAAAAAAAAAAAAAAAAAAAAAAATGAAGGATAATGGAAAATACTGATTCCTAATTATTTTTTTTACCTCTGGAAGGTTCTCCAGTGCCTATATGAGTTGGTATCTGAGGCTTTTTCCAATAGGGTAAGTGTCTGAGCTACCATAGAAAGAACAAATATCCCTGTTTAGCCTGTTACTGAAATCTTGGAGACAGGTCAAGGACTGACTTTATTGTGGAGATTCCATTACCTTTTCCCACCCAAAGGTGAGTTCTGAAGCCTCTTAGCAGGGTAGTATGAGGAAGATTGATGCAGTTGTTCAGGGGACAAGTTTCTTTCACATGACCATTACTCCGTCATTTTTCACAAGCTCCAGATTCACTTACACATGATTCCTAATGCTGCTGACATCTGATATCTATAGCTTCCCTTCCCATCTGCCAGGGATTTCATGCTTCTGATGAAAGAGCTTTAAAATTGCAAAGACAGCCAAAAATGTAGCCTAAAATCACAATGATCAAATGCTGTGGCTGTTACATGGGATTTTATTTTTTTTTCCCAAAAAAAATGAAGAATGGTTGTGTGTCAGATTATCATGGTATTAAAGATCAATTATGTCTCCAATGAAATGCTAACTGGCATCAATTGATGTGGGATCCTCTCTTGCATGGTGTGGTTACCCTTCAGTTGCTCTCTGTTTCCACTTGTTGGGTTCATCTCTGGTTTTGTATTGCTTTATTTTGGGCTTACTTGGTAAAGAAAAAGTATTTTCAGAAAATTTCATCATATAACATGTGCTGCACGGATGTCAGCTGAGGAAATCAGTGTCAAGAGCAGGAAAAGCCAGAAGATGAATGGATCTCTTAGTTCCAAATAGGAAACAGCTTGAAGTTCCTCTGAGGGGGGAAACAGAAACCTCATTCATTAACAATGACATTATTTCACCTCTGGTACAAAGTAAGGATTCTGTTCTCCCAGTGACGGACAGACACATCTCGCATTCATGCAAATGACCCTGAGCATTCATGGATACAAAGGAATGGCCCTAAAATATTGGCAGTTTTGACTGGTGAGCTATTCTCATGATCTGTGGGTGGCTGAGACATCTGGGCCAGGGAAAAACGCGTTATTTGTGTTCCTGTATTGATTTCAGCCTGTGTAAGGTCTGCACGTCACCCTGCCTCAGTGGATATCAAAGTAAACCGGTGTCACTGACGTGAAGGGTCTTGCCTGGGTGATGCAGTGTTCATTTATTCATCGTTTGAAAGGAGAATCATGTCTGATCAAGCACTCATCCCTTGTGCAGGATCAGTCAGATGTCTCAGGGCTTCCTGATTATTTTCTAGTGGTTTATAGTTGTGTACATCCATCTGCTTGGTCAGAGACACGTACGCGGAGTTTCGTGGGGGTTTTCTTGCCAATCAAACTAAGAGCAGGACAGGAGTTTGGGGTGTCCTTTTAAGAACATCTCCAACTGCTCAATGTAAAATGGACAGTAGGAGGTTTCCCAAGTGCCTTTATTTTCTGTTCCATTACTCTGATACCTTCCCTGTCTTCCCTTGGGGCCAGAGCTGCAGCTAGAAGCCTGACTCCTACCTCATGCTATTCTGAAATCTCTTTATTTATCCTAGACTCTGTCATTTTGCCTAAACATTGATGTTTTCCAGAAATCAGCTTTTTAAGTGGAGATGCCTATTAACTTTCTGAAGTCATATGTCAGTGAATCACAGAACTGATTAGTTTAACCAGACAAGCCCTGTGGTGATACAGAAAAATTATTTTCTTCTTCAGTCATGTTTATGTTCTTTTCCAATGAGCTGGCTGTTTTATTGCAAAAGAATCGGTAAAAGAGGTAATTTTAAATAGGCACAAAATAAATTCTGTTCTGTGAGGTACCCATAACCTTTCTAGAAGATACTAATTAACCTCCTTATGTCAGCATAGGAAGCCCTATTGCATTTATAACCGTCAAATTTTTATTTTTTTTTTAAATAGAAATGATCCCTTTCTGATGCCTATAGGCATCATCATTCACAAAGCAAGCTTTTCATTTCAGGATATGAGAAACAACAGTAGATTAATCGAAGTCTGAAGTTCAGCACTGCAGAACATCCATCCATTACCTTGCTTGTCTGTAAAGATTATGCCCTAATAACAGGAGTGATACAAGGCATTTCGTGAATAAAGCCCAGTCATTATCAGGTTGGCTCCCTGTGCTGCCATAATGTTGAATTACTGCTGGACCATGGAGCAGCAGTGACGAAGGTACCAAGTCTCAGGGGAGATGTTGTTTTATGACTCGGTTTTGATACAGATCCAGTGTACCCACGTGCACATCTCAGTGTGGAGAGGGCACGAGAGATTTTAGGACGCGATTCTGATGGCCAGATCCAGGTGACCTCTCTGTGGGTCAAACTGAAAGTATTCATTAGTAAAAATGGAATTAAGTCCTCCAGCAGAAAACCACAGGTTATCTGGTGATATTTGTACTACACTGGATCATTTTGCTAACGTTGTCCTTGTGTTTTGGAAAGGAAATCAAAGACGCTATGTGCCTGCAGGGCAGGGCCAAATCCTGCTCTCAGCAGTGGGAATTCAAAATCCAGGTATTTTCAGTAGTGTCTGTACAGTCATCCTGATTTCATATAAGAACTGTATTTGCTTTAATCATGCAGTTCCCAAGCTTGACTTTGATGAATTGCGGAAGTAGGCTCTTACCAAGTAACCTGGTGTTTTTCTCTTTTTTTTTTTTTTTTTTTTTTTTTTTTTTTTTTTTTTTTTTTTTCCCCAAAAAGAGCAGGAAGTTTGCCATACTGCAGAGCAAGATAAATGAATCTGCCAGTTGAAGCTAAATTTTCCAAGAAGGATTAGGATGTTTTGCGGTCCTGTAAATGCAGGAATCCTCCTAGCAAGCCCGGAATTTCTTTAGGATCATGATAAAAATTTGCTCTGTAACTACATATGTGTAAGAGGTAGAAGGAATTCCAAATGTGAACACTTCCAATCCTTAACGGCAGCTACAAATTTAAGTGAAAAAGATGGAAATGCCCTTACTCATAGTCAGAAATTATTGTAAATGTTTGGCGCTTAATTTTACATTGACTTGCTGTATTTCCATTCTATGTTAAAGAGTTTTTAAAAAAATGCACACAATCTTCTTGTTTGTGCACAGATGTGCTAAAAGGTCACCAGCGTGACAGGAGAGGGATGTTTTCATCTGATAATACTACCTTTCTTTTTGCCTCTGTGTGTTTTTCTTCTAGCTATCCATTTCCCATGGTATTCAGTAGCTGCAGTAGAAAGGACCTGGAAAATAGCCTGGAAAAAGGAGTGGGAATGTGTCTGTTCAACTTGCCTGAAGTCAAGGAGTCCTTTGGTGGTCAGAAGTGTGGGAATGGCTATGTGGAAGATGGAGAGGAGTGCGACTGCGGGGAGCCTGATGTAAGAGACCGTCTGAGAATTACTGCTCACCTCCTGTGCAGGTTTTTAACAGTGCAGAATTGCTTTGGCATGTTTAATGCTATTTCATGTAAAGCAAAACTCTCCCTGCTTCTATCTTATTAGCTTAAACTTCAGAGCCCTCAGAAGTACAGGGAGTTTCTGCCTGATTTGAATTTGAGTTGTTAAGTTCAGGCAGGGCCTTAGTTAAGAATAGACTCGATTCACCATTAGAGAACAAACTCTTTCCTGGCTTGTCCAACAGACTAACCGTGACTATCTGTCATGTTTCTAACAACAGAAAGTCCTTTAAGTACTAGACAATAAGCTAAACTCGAAATAAATCTGTGAACATTGCTCAGATTTCTCAAGGTACCATGCGTGAATTGAAGGTGAGAATATGAGAAGCCACTCATATATTAATAAATATTTATATAAATATTAACAGTGTCTAGGTATTTCTTCATTGCAGACAGTTTCAGATTTTAGGTACAAGACCTTTCCCTCCTTCCCAATGAGGTTTTTCTTTGTCACTAGACAATTACCTTACTAACAGAAATAGCCTTTACTTCTTCTCAAAAAAAAAAAAAAAAAAAAAAAAAAAAAAGATTGTTCCATTTAGTTTAGCAAACATGTCAGAGGTCTGCTCAGATCAGTAGGAAATGGGCAAAACCTGGGGGTCAAATAATATCCGAGCTGACATCCTTATCACTTTGGCATCCCATGCTCACGGGCTGTATTGACCTTCTTTCAGAATATCTGAATTAAATACATCGGCAGATGAGGGATTCGTTTCCTGTGATAAATATAATTTTACAGACAAAATAGATCGGGGCAGTTAAAACAGCGAGATACTGCTGTATCCTGTCTATACAGTGTATTGGATTTACACAAGCCATAAGGATTTCCTGACAGTTCACTCATTCTTCAGGGTAACGAGGTTGGAGGAAGCAGGCTTATCTTCTTGTTTAAAGTCAATAGAGTGCAAGCAGCTTGCAAATGTCTTTCTAACCTGGTTATCTTTCTCATTTTCACTTTTGAATGTTAGTGATACCTTTTCAAGTCAAAGCCACTTAATGTCAACAAACACTGACTTGATTTGGCTCTTCTTTCTTGTCTTTCCTTTTTAATTATATTGGACAACTGCAGCTTGGGCCCAATTCACTGAAATAATTCACTGGCCAGTCATTTGTACCAGCTGAGTTTTGTCAACAGTGCTGCAGTATTTTATGGCATGGAAAGCTGTACAATAACATATGCTAGACTGTTATACGCCAGTCTAATAGGTACATGTAGGTGGTTGGTAGAGATATTTCTCCTTTAAGTAAAATCTTAGCCCCATGTTGAGGTCTGTGCTCACTGACATACCTCAGCAGTTGGACAGCAATGGATTCAGGAAGGGTGAAGAGCTGTGACTGTAGCACACCTCCAACCCTTTGGACATCCCTGGAAATGCTGATGCTGTAGGGACTCTGACCATCTCCATCCACACTGTGGTCTCATGTGCATCAGGGGCTCATCATATTCTTGAGTATAATGGATGCCAGCATGCTCACCACCAGGCCAAGAGTGTAAGACCAGACCAAGGATTATATTCCCTATTAAGATCCAACTTAATTTTGAATTATATTACCGAAAATGTCTGGTGTGCTACAGTGTCTGGAAGGAGGGTTAATGTAGGTTACACATAGAAAGGAAGAAGGAAAAAAAAATAAAAATCATTGGTCCCTGAGAACTGAAAGGTGACAAATGTGGCTAATTTTATAACAGGCTGCAAGGGGAATCAGAAAACTACAAATTGGTAAATCAGAAGTCAGACAAATTACTTCCAAATGTAATTAAGAGCTAGTGCCTGAACAGCTGTGACACGCCAGGGACAAGTCAACACAGCTTTTGTGCCAGGAAATCTTGTCTTACAAACCTATTGCAGTGCTCTGAAGGACTTAGCAAGTGGATGGAAAGGGGCAATGATGGTATTGCAGCCTGTTAAGAGTCCAGAGAAGCTTTAGAACCAAAGCCTTTCAACAAAGCCTCTTTAGGAGACTAAGAAGCTGTAGATTGAGAGAATATTGCATGGGCAAAATTTGGGTTAAAAGCTAGGAAACACAACCCGTTATAAAGAATCCATTTTATGCAGTGGAAGGAGATCTGCTGCGATGTATCCATGAGATGAGTCCTGGCAACCACACAATTCAGCATATTCATAAACAGCCTGGGAAGAGCACTAGTCTTAAATTTGCTGATGATATTAGTTAGGATGGCAAAGATGAAAGCTGTCTGTGAAGAACTGCAGAGGAACCTTCTGAGACAGCTGGACTGGGCATTAAGATGACAAATGGGATTCAGTGTGGAGTGATGCACATTCCAAGCATCACATATAAGATAATGGACTCTGAGCTGACTCTGACCATAGAGGAACAAGACTTCATATTGCAATAAATAGTCTCATGAAAATGTCAGCTCTGCGCTCAAGAGTGGTCTAAAAGGTAAATAGGCTGTTAGAAATTACTAGGGAAGAAATAGGAAAACAAAACAAAGCACCAGTAGGCCTCTATAAATCTGCAGCGTCCTGCGTCTGGAGCTGCATGTGCAGCTTTTTGCTACCCCTCCCAGATCTCAAGAAGGATAAAGCAGAATGAAAAAGGTTGAACGAAAAGCAGTAAGGAGGTTCAAAGTTTTGGAGGGGCTGTGTCAGGAAAAGAAGAAAATGAAGGAAAACGTGACAGAAGATGATAAAATCACGAGTGAAATGGAAAGGATGAGTAGGGAGCAATTGCCCTCCAGCAAGAACTGTGCATATAAAGTTAGAAAGTGGCAGGTTTGAAACAAGCAGAAGGAGCTGTTCTCCAGACTGTGTCCATTGCTTGTGAGTTCCTTTCCACTGGAGGTTAGAGGGGATAAAATTGTCCGCGGAGCCAAGGGAAAGCCAGGAGGCTGGGAAGGTGTCATGTATGGGTGTTCATATTCTTGTCCTTAAGCATTTTCTGCTGGCTGCTGCCAGGGGGACACAAGGCTAGAAGGGTTATAGGCTGACCCACTGTGGTCTGTCTTGTGTTCTTAGAAAAGTGGGCTTGAAAACAAGATGTCCTGTCTACAGTATCCAACACCACGTAGATGATGCTAGAATTGCTGTCGTGTTAGTCTGTCTGAGATGCTCTGATGAGCCCAGACGCACACCAAGAAACCCAACTCCCATCATTTCTGTTGTTACTAATTAATAACTACTACTAATAAACTACAACACAGCAGTAGTTTCAGGTGGCAGCCTCCAGCCTCTAAAAGCCCTGTGAGCCTTTTCTGTTTGCTCGCCTGTTTATGTTCGAACCATTCCTGACAATTTAATAGCCCGGGCACAAAAACTATTTACCAAACTCATTCCCTACAATGAGCAATAAGTGAGCGAGCAATTGGAAATTTCAAAGGCTGTGGTAGCATCATGCAAAGAGCTGTGTCTTTATCCCAGCCTGCCTGTGGCATGCCGATTGCTTTCCACGGCTGGCTGGTGTAGGGCCAGATGATGGGGTATAGGAGCTGACTGTTTCAGAAGTACCTTAATTGGGCTGTCATTGCTTTCCCCCACTCTGCTTTTCTCAGATTGCTATTGAGGTGAATTTATAAAATGTTTTCTGCGCAAAGGAACGTTACTTCTTAAATACAGCAGCTGCACAGAAATATTTGCGTAGCCTGCTGCCTTCCGGCATGATCAAAAATAGGTGCAGCAAGTTGTTTCACTACTTCAGAGCAGCACAGTTAGCGTTGTATATTCAGCCAGATATTATCTAAGAAAGCAGTGAAATGCTGAAAATCATTTTGCCGTTTATTCGTGAGTGCATCGGTAGCCCTATCTTGCAGTTGGAAAGCTTTACAAAAGCCAATAAAGTAACAAGAGGCTGTGAACATCAGTCTAACCCACTTATTTTTCCTGTGTTCCCTATATTGTTAGTGATCCCTTGTTAAGTCGAACTGACTTAACACAGCTGAAGAGCAATTTTATCTGCTGCTATTTTTGTTAGAGAGATGAGATTCCGGCACAGCTGATGTAACTTGCAGCTTGTGAGCATAATCTTGGAAAAACAAAACCATTATTTTCTGAAACTTCTTACTAGCTCGTTCTACTGAGGATAAAGTTTGCGAAAGCCCACACATGCCACCATCTAATCCGTAAGTGTGAAATTGGGATGTATCAGTTAGTGAGAATGCAATTCATACTCATTTCGTTTCTCAGAGCTCTATTACTGGTTTACCCTGATAAGAGATTACATGGAATAGCGTCATCATCTCTCCTTGTGGCAGCCACCAGTCTCCACATGATACAGAAGTCTGGTGAGCAACTATCACAAAGTAGAGAGCTGTAGTCATGATGCTCAGTAACCGCAACACAGGTCCTAGATCCTCAGTGGAGGCGGTGGAATCATTCCACTGACTTCTTTTTTTTTTTTTTTTTTTTTTTTTTTTTTAAACCACTGTACTACTGTATCAGGATCGGTTTCAGCATACATGAGTTGTTTGTGATATTTGGGATTAGATCCATAGCTGGAATAAACCAGCCTTCCTCAATGGCTTCTCTGGTTTTACTACAATTACCGTGCTTGTTGAATCTGAAGACAGACAAGACTTTTTGGATCAAGTTGTAGAATTTCATGCATAATTCATTATTTCATGCCTAGCTTTTCTTGGCGGAGCTATAGGCAGCCTCTTAATTTACAGCTCATTGTGACTGAACGTTGTCTGCTCTAAATTTATCGTCCATCTAGGAATGTACAAACCGGTGCTGTAATGCCACTACCTGCACTCTGAAACCGGGAGCAGTGTGTGCACATGGACTTTGCTGTGAAGACTGCCAGGTGAACCAACGGAATCTTTTTTTTTTTTTTTTTTTTTTATGTGTGGGGTGGGCAGAATTCCACAATCTTCCCAACTGAAGAGCAGTAAGCAGGGATGGAGAATAAGCAAGTTGGTATCATTAAGCATTAAGACACTTGCACTTCGTGTAAGCAATTCCAAAAATTCTCAGATTGTCACAGTTCTTTCCTGCAGGAGCAGATCAACAGACTTTTTAATGGTGTCTGTGCTATTTGTAGCCACTTCATCAGCTCATGCAAAACATCTTTTTCATGAATTTTTGTAGGCTTTTGGGGTTTTTTCATGCTTATATGGAGTTGTTGCTTATATGCAGTTGTGCTCTGGCAAGCAGTTGTTAAATGCTGGACCCTCTTTTTATGGGAAGACTCAAGATACTAATTCTGTCAACAGCATATATATTTTTAATGGCAGATCATCAACTCCTGTGGACTCCTAACGTACTAAAAAAAAAGCCAGCTTGCTGCAGGCATTCACCTTCTTGAATTCTCAGACCATCTCTTGCATATGGGCTAATAAAGCATTCAGCAAGTTTCCATTGTCTGTGGCAACCATCTGCCTAAAAGCTCAGTAGCAGCAAGCTATCAAAAGAGCTAGCAAATGCTTTTTAGCAAAATCAATCTTCATGTCTTTTTGCTTTTTACCAAAGGCACTGTGGTGATGCAGTTAAAAATCAGCGCTGCTCTCAGAGCACACCCATCTTTTGTGGTTGTTGTCGATAAATGATTGTTCAGATTGCCCTGTTCCACCATTAACTACGAGTTGCCTTCAACTCTGAGAAAATGCAGTTATCCAGGGAAATCAGGACAGGAACAGTTATATGAACTAGTTGTATAAGTAAGTTGAAGAAGGTCTTGACCATGACAGAGCGATGTTTCCATCAGGAAATGCATCTCCATCCCAGGAAGCTGTCAGGGAGCTGAATCCAGAGGCAGGTGGGCTGGTGGCTTGGTGAGCCATAATATAACAAAAAAAATATATAATATTCTGTGTTCGGCTGGCTGCCCTGGTCGCTGCTGTGTGCTTATAGCCATATTGATGAAAATGTTTCTGCTCTGACTTCTGGTCAGTGCCGCAGAGCATCCTTTGCAGTACAGCTCAGACTGTTTCTGTGCCTCTGTGTTCAGACATGATTGCAGGAGGCATGCTGAAAACTTTGGTTCCTACTTGAAAACGTAATGAAAAGCTGGATTTACCTTCTGACCCAAGCCATGTGAGCCATGTTTGCAGCTGCAACTTCAGTTTGGCCCTCCTTCCTGCCAAACCCTTCTCAACCTGTGTCAAATAAATGTATTTAAAGAGCTGTGTAATCCTTAAACTGTCCTCTGCGGTCAGCTGGTGCAGAGCCAGTGGAAAAAGCTGTTCATGCGCTGCATGGGTTATACCGCTGCATAACTCTTATTGATTGGAATTACAGCAGTAAAGGGGTTTTGTTTGTTTTGCAGCTAAAACCAGCGGGGATTTCTTGCAGAGAGTCAAGCAACTCCTGTGATCTGCCAGAGTTTTGCACGGGAGCCAGCCCTCACTGCCCAGCCAACGTGTACCTGCACGACGGGCACGCGTGCCACAGGGTGGACGGTTACTGCTACAACGGCATATGCCAGACCCACGAGCAGCAGTGCATCACCCTCTGGGGCCAAGGTGAGTTTGAGAACCGGGAGGTCTGTTTATGAGATAGACTTGGGGGGGAAAAAAAAAAATAAAAAAAAAAAAAATGCATGTGATTGGGAGGAATTTTATACGGCACCAATCTGTATCTATTCTTTTCTGAAATGGCAAACTGAATAATGAGGGAATCATTCTGTGATTCATTTTATCCTTGATTTGCAGTCATGTTCGTTTCTTGCAGCAGGAGGTAGAGAGCAACAGTAACTAGATTCATTCTGCAACAATGCTGCAAATGGCTGGGTGAACTTAGACAAATCATTTAACACTGACTTTGATATGGCCTTATGTCATCCTACAAAGTGCTGAATGCTCTTGACAAGTCGAAATTGCGTTCTTTTTTCAGGCTGGTATGGAAGCTTCCTTCTGTGCTCTAAATTGTGCATCTGCAAAACATATATATCTGTCTACATCCCAAAGCAGAGCTCCGTGTTTGACACTAACATCAAATTCTTGTATCGTTGTGTGTATTTTATTAATTGGTGTTACCCTGTAAGCCTGCCTCCTGACAGTACACTTAGCACAGGACGTGCTCAAGCAGAAAAAGAACTTATTCTCCTATGGAAATTTACTTTTTTTTTTTTTCAAAAAATCTAATAGCATGAGATCTTGGGTTATCCAAAATAGGTGATATCCCAGGAAAGCCATTCACCTTTCTACAATGTCCTGCAGCTCTTCCGCTGAATTACAAGTACTAACTCAGCATTTTGCTATTGCCTCCTGCATCACTGGGGACATGTCATGTCTCCTTCAGCATCTCACTTACTCCCTTTCTCAAATGGGAAAACTACTTTTACCTCCTCTGAGGAGAAACATTTTTAGAGCTAGATTTAATTATGTCTTTTAAATTAACTTTTTCAGCTCCGTTAGCCTCTTAATTCGATATCTCTCTGCCCTCAACTCTCTTTCAAAATTTCTCTATCAATATAATGACACAGATGTTTCCCTTGGTCAAAACCCTCATCAGAAATCTATTGAAAGATCCATCTGTTATCTTCACAGGGACTTGTGCCATTCACGATTTTTCTTTTAAAGAGCATTAAAGCATCTCAGGAAATAAGGCCACTGATACAGACAGCAGGTTAGCTTGGTCATGTGGGTATAAGAACATGTTAGCAGAGTTCCGCTTCAAACTTAAACTCCCCGCATGGAACTGATGCATCTGATATACTCCTCCGAATCCCACTTGCATCACAGAGTTAATATGAGCTCATGTAGGCATGTACAATTACAGCCTCCAGTCTTAGTCATACTGGGATTCTTAATCCCCTGGATACCCAGACATTTTCTCTTGTATAAAGCAAAGTCTCCGTACAAACCAGTTTCCCATGCCATGGAAAGTTACTCGGTCAGACTGTTAATAATTTCAGTCTCTGAGAAAAATTCAGCTAAAGGTCAGGGAGCTGAATTGTTGCAGCTCCCTTGCCAGGGCTGTTCCCTAACTCAGCAAGTCCTCCAAACCCCCCAGGCTCCCCTAATTCTTTCTTGTCTTCCTTCTTGGGACTATTCGGTATGGGCACTGCTGTGCGTGGAGTCTCCAGTGGTCAAGGCTATGGGGGTCTGCTTCTGAGAAAGATGACTTCATTAAGAACAGAGCTCAAACGGACTTTAATTGGAATACCCTTCTTTTTCATGGGAATACCCAAGGATAAAGGTTTTGAAAGGGTTTTGAAACCACTTGCATCCGACTGGAGTATGAGCTGGCAGATGCAGGGTGGAATGAGGAGAGGGCTCGGTGGGCCATGCAGTTGGAAAAATATCATGGTACAGATAAAAAAACTTTTCAGCCTTGCTTACAGCAGAGGGACTTGACATTCTAAGATGTTGTCTCTGGGCTTCATATCCAAAATACACATTTGAACCTTTTACCAGATTGTTGTACTTTGTTAGAATTTTTTTTTTTAACAACTGTATGTGTTGGAGTGGAGTGTAAGACTAGTTGTGTGGGTTAAAAATTCTATACTGTAACGAAAAAAACAGATCACAGTTCATTTGCATTAATTTCTTTTTCCCAGTAGGAGACAGCCATGGAGAACAAAATACAATAACTTTTCTTAAAATAATATTCAGTATATTGAATTTCTTATCAGTGTATTCTTTTGTATATCTATTTTTATTCATCAGGTTACAGATGTCCAGTAGCCCAATGATAAACGTCAATCTTAATATTTTTAGATCTAGTTAAAGAAAAACGATGAGCGCTGTCAGAGTTTGTTTACATTGGGCTGAGCAATAGGAACCTGTTCCCAGAAAGAAGTACTTGCATTTCCTTGGGCGGTTTTTGTTACTTTCAACAGATAAATTCGAATCAAATAGAGGAATATTTTCTGCTATTCCCTATCTGCAATAGCATGGAAAGCTTGGTGTGAAAGAGGGGAGGAGCACCTGGGGACAGTCTCTGCAAACAGCGATTAACTCCTCTTAAATACCAAGTTCATTCCAGGCTGCTCCCAGAACACACACATTTCTCTACTCTCTCACATTAATTCATGTCATTTTTATCTTTAAGGAGCAACATGCATGAATTGCTTGTGACCTTTTTTGTTTCATATTCAACACCATCAGATTGCACGGATCTGACCTATTGATAGTAGTGTGACTGAAAGATACATCGATAGTAATGCATTTGTGTAATGTCTGGTACTCCACTGGCATTTTTCGGGAGTAACTAGATACACAGATAAAGCTATTTGAGAGAGAGAAATTATTGATTACCAAGGAATAGAAGATTCTCAGCTTTAGACTCATGGCTTTTTCTACATTGACAAGAAAATGATTCTTTAGGGAAGGGAAGGGAAGGAGATGTTTGTCAGTGTGTTTTCCTACCCTTCCCTGAGAGGGAAAAAAACCAGTGATTTGGGGGAGCCAGTGGCAGGCATTGACTTAATAATTAGAACGTACTTAAATTTGTTGCATAGACATGGCCATTTGTTCAGGCAAGAGCAATCTTAATTTTAATGTCAATATTTGTTACAAAGGCCTGTCACTGGTGTAGGAGCTTTGCAGTTTTTTCCAGGTACAACCCTATAGGCAAAGGAGATGGGTTTCCCATCTAAGTTAGCTGACCAGATCATTACTAACCGTTTGTTTTGGGGGG